TTCGTTAACGCATCTCCTCTAACACCTGCCATTCTTCAGATTTCTCGCACCGTGCTATTGACTCTAAATATAATAAAAAAATATGAGCATTGACTTTGCAATCAAGAATCGTTTTGGGCGAAAAAAACGATCGCAGCAAGAGGCTGCAATATTCACGAAACGAAATAACGATTAATCGAACCTCCGCAGAAATAGACGAAAAGACACTCGTGGGGCAGGAGGTGGTCTATCGAGGGTAACCTGGGGGCGGCAACAGGGCGGTCAGAGATGTACTTTGTGGCAAAGACATACATTCAGTAACCACTCGAGATTGCACGCTTGCAAAATCAGCCTAATGTCCGCCGCTCGTACGAAACGGACTATCCGATTTGACATTTGTTATCGCAAAATAATGCGAAATATTTCACTCGCGAGAGAAACCGCAACCGAGTTCTCTTCAAGATCGTTCTCAAATCGGATATTTCTGACGTATCGCTATCAAAAAGCTCCTTCTCGATGCCACAAAAAGAAATATAACGATGATGATGATTATGCAGAATCGTTTTTAAGATCCTTGCAAATCTCCTACGGAAGCGATTCGAATCTAAATAAAAATGAAGTTTATCGAACGCGATTTTGAATCGTACAACGTGTGAATTAACGACGAGGATAGCACGCGCTCACGAAGAAGAGCTCGAGTACATTTTTTTTTTTTTATTCACGGAGTACTTTACGCGTTCAGAACGAATTTCTAGCAATACAAATAATAGAACTCGATTCAAATCAGCAAAGTGAGATGCAATCGTCGAGTTCCCTTCGTGAGCGCGAATATATAACGAATCTCATGGAGAGATATCGGAGGATTGTTCTAATATGCGGTATCGCAATTAAATTAAATACGATTACTCAAACCGACAAAATAGGGGTGCTACGTAGAGAAATACTTTTCTTCACGATTTCTTCTCGATGTACCGCAAGATTCATTCAGGAAACACGAGGAAATCTATCGTACGAATGATATTATCCTATGTCTACTACAAGATATATGACCGCGTGTTTCTCGGGCGCGACATCCCGTGACAGTGATAACATCGGAATTTGTTATTATTGTTACGTGCCTTCCGAAAAAAAAAAAAAAAAAAAATGATTTGATCGCGTATCGAATTGATTGCGAGAACTGATCGCATCGCTGGTAACGAGATAAAACGTGTATAAGCGATTAATATATAATGTATAATCTGTAGCGATAATCTAGTATTATTAATGTTAAAGCGGCAACGTCTGTACATACAACGTTAAGCGTACGCAAAAAAAAAAAATACGTTGACCATTCGTGCATTTCACACGTATGTACCTACGAGTAGGTGCACGAAAGAAAAACACCGTTGTGCGTGTGTGTATTATACAGAGTTGGCACAAAAAAAAAAAAAAATAATTTTTTCACGACGCGAGAGCGAGTATCCGTCGCGATCGTTCGCGTCATCGATTTAACGCTAGAACGCTCGTGCTTTCCTACATTTCTCTTAACTTTCCCAGAATTTATCCGTCAAAGTATTATTCTATTATCCAATGATATATACTTTTGTGAAACTCTCCGAGTTTACGATATAACTCAAGTGCTTATAAACCGTGACTACAGCAAATAACTATTAAATTTTAAATCGTCGATGATAGATCCATCTTTGGGCGTTTTAGCATTGAATTTTATTAAGCGCCTCGAGAAAAATAGCTAGAAAACGGCCGCGGCACCTCGCATGAATCGACCGAGACATCCTCACGAGTTCCTAGAGTAGTGATATTAACGATCGTTACTGTCAATCTGCGAATCGAAATCTCGCGGATCCGGCAGAGAGCTAATAATGTGCACATTTGCAACCGCGACAGACATACACGGATATATTTACGCAACACTTTTGTACAGACTCTGTATCATACGTTATCGCTCGGTTTTTGAATTACTTAGGGTATACGTTCGTTAAGATATAGTATGGTAAGTTTAAATTTTTTTGTATAAAACGGCACAAATATTTTCTATGGGGAAACGGGGGCGAGTTCGATCGTAAGTGTTGAGTTTCTATTATTATTATAATTATTATTGCCCATTATGATCTCCATTATCTCGCGCAGAGTAGATTGTCACACTAATTGATCGCGCAGAAGAGAAATAAGCTCACGGAAATATATATATATATATATATATATATATATAATATCGTTAAGTATATGTACCTATAAACAATTTTTACGCAATAATATACAATGTGGTAGTACTTTATCATGAGTACTTTATAAGCACGATAGAGACGAGGGTAGCGTTAGTAGTACATTCGTATCATACAAATACACTCGCGAGGAAACAATAATATATTATTATATTTTCTCTCGTACTAATTTTTCTCCCGGGTTCGATCACGAGTTTCTCGTTGTTTCCTTCGTTGTACGCAACATGAATCGATTGACATGACACTGACAATGAGATTGCTGATCTTCGCATCGAGATAATTAGTTAAGTCTATACACATGAGAATGTGATATATTAATTTGACGATAGATAAAATTAAAGGAAAAAAAGCGCGTGTAGAGTCGCGACTGAGATACGAAACCCCCATGATCTCTCAAGCCCGATTATCTTTGCGTGAACACGTTGGAAAAATCGCGGTGTTAAAAAGTATTGTTAATAGTCTAGACGTGTATGTTGTACCCCTGATCCAAACGGAGAACGGGCCTGCTTGACTGCGCAGATAATTTGACGCACTGCTAATATAATTCTTACTGAGATTAAAAATAAAATTAAATTAAAATTCTTTAAATAAAAAAAAATTCCTTATAAAATTAATTAATTCCTTATGAAATTCTTTATATCAATTTCTATTATCAGTGTCTCGAATTATCTGTATAGCCAATCGAATCTATTTTCTCCTATAATTCTACCTCAATTTTTGGGATTAGGTGCTTTAGATTTCTTCAAAAAATTATTCATGACATACGTACGCGCATACTCGTCTCACGTGCGCCCCTAGATATAAAGGATATGCCAAAACTGTCGCGTTTTGTTTTACCTGTGATCAAATTGGAATTGGTCTTTTCTTGAGGTAAGCCGAGACTTTGAAAGAATTGCGAGAAAAGATGGCTTCTGAAATATATGACTGAAAAAAAGCAACTTTAAATTAGTTAAAGTACGCGTCATAAAAAAAACAAACAGTGCAATAGTTTTGGAATAACCTGCATGTAGCGAACAAAAATGATTAAAAAAAAAAGAAATCCAATAACACCAAGAAGAATCTTTGTTCTTCAACGCGTACGTTTCGATAAAAAAATATTTACTGAAACGAACATATGATAAAGACATTCGTATTGCATATTGTTTTTAAACGATTAACGCGATACTTTTCGACAGAACATTTTTTTTCTGTTAGTGCCTATATATCTCTTGTCCGCAAAAAAAAAATTTTTTTACGCAACTACACATTAGAAAAAAATATCCATACAACTTTCGGCTTGTGGTTCTTTGTGCAAATAATATGATCTTGGACACCAGAAATATTTATATAATAATATTGATAACTACAAATGATAAGATTAATAATGATAATTAATTAAATATAATTAATAATAATAATATTAATAAGCCATAGTGCAAA